TGCAGTATTCTTTCCTGGGAAATCCCATGGACTGAGGAACCTGGCCTCTGGTTCATGGGATGGAGAAAGAGTTAGACGCGACTGAGTGACTGAACACACACGTGCTCGCACACACACACGACTTAGCGACTAAACAAGATCATTCCCAAGGTAAATACTCAAACTAACAGAAGAATTCAAACCTCCAGGATTATCTTAATTCTATCTCAGCGCTGCTGAAACGGAGGGACCACCAGGCCCCCCCCAGGTTACACGGGTTCTCTTCTGTCCAGTCATTTTATTCATAAGGAATCAAGAATCAGAACTAAGTGTAACCGTGGAGGTCAGTTGATCTAACCTCATCTTATAGTTGAGAAAACCGAGGGCCAGCGTTGCCTGGAAGGGTCCTGCCCAAGATCAACGTTTCCTGTACCCGAAGTCACACAACGTGCGGCCTTCTGTGTCTGACTGTTCACTCACAGTGTCTCCTTCAGTCCCCCTTACGCCCGCAGTGACGCACACACCCTTCCCACGGCCTCAGAGCTCCTCCCAGCTGCCCCCCCAGGCTCGTGCTCTCCCCTGCTCACCACGCTTCTGTCGTTTGTATCCAGTTTTAGATCCCACTTCTGTTATCACATGGGACTTCTCTTTCTCGAAGTTCCCTTAGTTCGATGATCTCTAGTTCCATCCACGTTGCTGCCTGGCCTCTGTGCTATTGCTTAAACAGCCAGATAGCTTTGTTGTTTTAAATTTATTTTTATCATATAGTACATGCAACTTATTTTGTCTTAGTTTAACTTAGCTTATTGAAGTATAGTTGGTTTACGATGATTCAGATATACAGCAGAGTGATGCAATTACACCTACAAATACATATTCATTTTCAGCTTCGTTTCCATTATAGGTGACTGCGAGATTGAGTGCAGTTCCCTGTGCTGTAGGGCAGCTCCTTGCTGTCGATCTGATTTATACAGTAACGTGTAGCTGTTGATACCAAGCTCCTGATTTATCCTTCCTCCCTCAGCCCTGCCTTTCCTCCTTGGTAACCATAAATCTGGTTTCTGTCTCTATGCATCTTTTTGTTCTGTATATAAGTTCATTTGTATCATTTTTTTAGATTCCACATATAAAGGATATCAAATGGTACTTGTCTTTGTCTGACTTATTTTGCTTGGTATGATCATCTCTAAGTCCATGGCAAATAGCATTATTTCATTCTTTTTAAGGCTGTTATTCCATTGTGTATATGTACTACATCTTTTTTTACCCATTCATCTGTCTACGGGCATTTAGGTTGTCTTCATATCTTGACTATTGTAAACAGAGCTGCAATAAACATAGGGGTGCATTTTTTTTTTATCATAGTTTAGTCTGGATATATGCCCAGGAGTGGGATTGCCAGAGCATATGCTGACTTTGGTTTTTTAAGGTACCTCCAGGCTGCTGCCCACAATGGCACCAGTTTGCATTCCCACCAACCAACAATGGTCGACTTTTAACGCGTCAGCATATGCCCAAACCTAGCTGACTGCCCTCACTGAGCACACAGTCCTTCGGCGTCCTGATTACAGCTGGTCTCGCTCCAGGTCGGGAGAGGCCCTCCCTCCTAGAGGGGCAGCTCCGTTCAGCAGGCCACTGGACTAGAGCTTGCTCTGAGACTGCCATGGCTTCTGAGCCGGGAGCCCGGGTCCGGATGCTCCCGCAGTCCTGGTGGAGCTGCAGGGCTCCAGGGGGCCGTGACTCATCACCACATAATTCCAGCCCCAGCTTCCCGGGGAGGCTGGAAGCAGGGAAGGCCTGAGAGGCTGAAGCAGACAGAGGGGAAAGCGGCACACCCAGGGTGGGGCCCTGCGGGGAGGTGCCCGGCCTGACTCACCCCAGGCTTTCTGCAGGGGCAGCCACGCCTTGTGCCCAGGTTTCGAATGCCAGGTGGGGAATGTGCCTGCACCAGGCTCCCTCGATCAAGTTGCAACAGGTCTCCTGAAAAGAGCGTTCCCATTAAAGTGAATGGAGTCGAAACAGGCTGACCTCTCTGGAAACACAATTTAGTTTCTTTTCTAAATGTTTCCTAAGTGCTTGGGAGACCCAGGTTCAATCCCTGGGTAGGGAAGAGTCCCTGGAGAAGGAAATGGCAACCTGCTCCATTTCCTGGAAAATTTTCCTGGAAAATTCCATGGACAGAGGAGCCTGATAGGCTACAGTCCATGGGATTGAAAAGAGTCGGACACGACTGAGCGACTTCACTTGCAGAGACGCCTGAGAGTGTAGAAGAGAGAGAGAGAAAAAAAAAAAGCAGACCTTGACATCAAGGAGGCTGGGAGCTAGAGTGACGGGGAGGTTTTATATGATCCATCCTGGCAACCTAAAGAAACCAAGTTGAGTGCAGAGAGGAGGGGAATGGGTGTGAAGCCTCACAAGTTCCTGCATTGTGGTCAAGATCTTTCCATTGTGTGTACTCATGAGCACAGCTGCTACTGACTTAAGAAGAAAAGTTCTGGAAGGGAAAGGCTTGATATATAATTAATTTTCAAAACCTGAGGGGTGGCTGCTCTTTAAAAAAAAAAAAACCCTCCAAACCTTGAAAGCAAGTGGGACCGGCATGTGGACAGACTGGAACCCTCTTGCCTTGGTGGTGGAGTGTAAAATGATTCAGCCCCTGTGGAAAATACTTTGGCAGTTCCTCAAAAAATTAAGCACGGAATTACCACATGACCCAGCAATTCTACTGCTGGATATATACTCCAAAAGAAAGCAGGATCTTAAAGAGATGCTTGTACACCGTGATCATAGCAGCATTTTTCACAGTAGCCAAAAAGTAGATAAATCCCGTGTATTAATAGGTGAATGGATAACAACGTGTAGTCTGTACATACAGTGGAATATTTCGTGTGTACTCAATTGCTCAGCTGTGTCCCACTCTTTGAGACCCCCATGGACTGTAGCCTGCCAGGCTCTTCTGTCCGTGGAATTTCTCAGGCAAGAATCCTGGAGTGGTTGCCATTTACTTGTCCAGGGGATCTTCCCGACCCAAGGATCAAACCCGTGTTTTCTCCATTGGCAGGTAGATTCTTTACTGCTTAGCCACCTGGGGAGGCACCATGGAATATTATTTGCCTTAAAAAGGGAGAATATTCTGATATATGCCACAACATAGATGGGCCTTGAAGATATTCTTCGAAGTGAAATAAGCCAGTCGCAAAAAGATAAATACTGCATGATTCCATTTCTATGAAGTACTCAGGGTAGTCAAATTCATAGAGACAGAAAGTAGAAGGGCTGGGGGAGGGGAAATGGGGAGTTGGTGTTTGGTGGGACAGAGTCNTTGAAGTGAAATAAGCCAGTCGCAAAAAGATAAATACTGCATGATTCCATTTCTATGAAGTACTCAGGGTAGTCAAATTCATAGAGACAGAAAGTAGAAGGGCTGGGGGAGGGGAAATGGGGAGTTGGTGTTTGGTGGGACAGAGTTTCAGTTTGGGAAGATGAAAAGTTCTGGAGATGATGATGGCTGCATACCAACGTGAATGTGCTCAATGCCACTGAACTGTACACCTAAGGATGGGTGCAATGGGAGATTTTATGATATGTGTATTTTACCATCATTAATCTATACACACACACCTTGGGGACAAACCTTCAGGATTTGAAACCCTGTTTCAAGGTTTGCCAGAAAGATGAGCTTGGTGAGATTACTCAACGAGCGTGAGGTTTTTGCCATCTGTGCAATGGGCTGTTTCAAGCTCTGAGTGAGACACTCAGGCGGGGCACTTGGCACAGAGCTTGGCAGACCCTAGAGGCTCAGTAGCAGTGGCTATTGTCCTGTTGAGGCTTCGGGCATCTTGGCTGAAGGTCAGTGAGAAGCTGGCCATGGGCAGTCTTGTTTAACGTGTCCTTTGATCTTGGTCCCCCAAAGAAAACAATAAACTCCCACCACATCTATGTACACCTGTGAATACACACACCATGAAGACGCACGTGGAGTACAGATGAGCCAGCGTCTCTAGTCAGCACGTTTATTGCATGTATTCTGTCTTCTCTGCTGATGTATCAGAGTCTTGCTTTACCCTTATGTACACGTGTGTAAGGCAGAGAGAAGCCTTGCGATCGTGGACCCCATTGGACATTTGCTTTCTAGGAGGAACAGCTGGAGTCGTGTCGGACGTGTTAAGGTGCTGTCCGCATAAGTCTCAGAGCGAGGGCTGCAAGAAGGAGCCGGTGTGCAGTTACGGTGGCCGCAAGGGCAGAGCCCCACCCAGCCCCTAGCCCCCAGAATCACACTCTCGGAGCCCCTAAGGCCTTCGTGTGCTCCCTGGTGCCAGTGGAGTGTCTGGGAAGCGCATCTGCTGGAGGCCCAAGAAAGTCAGGCAAGGAGAAGAGCGGGGAAGATGCTGAGGAGATGCGCCCTGTGGGCCCGAGGTCTTTGAGACAGTATTTGGGCTGAAGTATGAACACGTGCATGTGCGATTTTGCAATTCCAGTGACTATTTCTGGGACAGTGGTTCTTACCTAGGCTGGGGGGCCTGTTATGTGGGGACTCTCTCCTTCTGCTCTGCACCTGCAGGGGACACGCAGCCAAGTCTGAAGGCATTTTTGTTTGTCATAGCTGGTGTCAGCGGTGAGGGTGACAGGGTGTTGGGGGTCTGGGGGAGGGTGGGGGTAGACCAGTCTGTTGTTGTTCAGTCACTAAGTCGTGTCCGACTCTTTGCAACCCCATGGGCTGCAGCACGCCAGGCTCCCCTGTCCTTCATTATTTCCCGGGGTTCGCTGAAATCCATGTCCACTGATGACGAGATGAGAAGTGAAGGTACTCAGTCATGTCTGACTCCTTTCAACCTCATGGACTGTAGCCTACCAGGCTCCTCCGTCCATGGGAATTTCCAGGCAAGAGTACTGGAGTGGGTTGCCATTTCCTTCTCCAGGGGATCTTCCCCGCCCCCCTCCCCACCCCGGGATCGAACCCAGGGCTCCCACATTGCAGGCAGACACTTTACCCTCTGAGCCACCAGGGAAGCCCAGGAGAAAGGCCTCGCTGGGATTCGAACCCAGGATCTCCTGTTTACCAGACAGGCACCTTAACCGACGAAGCCAGGAAGCCCCCATTGAGTCGGTGATTCTGTCCAACCGCTTCGTGCTCTGTCCTCCCCTTCTCCTCCTGCCCTCCGTCTTTCCCAGCATCAGGGTCTTTTCCAATGGGTTGACTCTTCGCATCAGGTGGCCAAAGGCCTGGGGCCCCAGCTTCAGCATTAGTCTTCCCTGCGAGTATCCCTGGTTGACGAGAGATGCTGCTGAAAACCATACAGATTCTCCACACTGCATTGTCAACAGGTCCCAGGTTGGGAAATCCTGCTCTTCAACAGCCAGAAGGGATTAAAAGAAATCATTTCCTAGCTGAGAGGAGGAAAGAGAAGAGCTATTAAAATTGGATGGTTAAAGGGCATTCCATGGCAGATCAGCTGTTAGGACTCTGACCTTTCATTGCTGAGGGCTTGGCTTCCATCCCTGCTGGGGAAACTAACATCCCGCAAGTCAGGAGGTGCAGGCAAAAAAAGAAGAAAAAAAATTTCAATGGTTATAGAGGAGGCCCAGAGACAAAGAATGCCTTTTTTATACAATTTGGTGTTTTTAAAAGTTCTCACCTTTTTCTTAACACACACATACACACACAGACTGCTGACCAGAGGCTATGTATTACATTGATTTATCTTTTATTCTGCAATAGAGGTATTAACATTTAAAATTGCATTTGGTTAGGAGGGGAAATTTTCTTTATAAACTATTCAGGGCTTCTTTATTTAGACTTTCATTGTATTAGTCCGAACTTGTTTCTTATCTTGCTCAACCTTCAAAAGAAATTTGTCCAAACATGAAAGCCTTTTAAGCTTCACAGTGAGTTATACCTGGGAAACTGCTTTATAAGCCACAGATTAAAGTGTGAAAAAGGTTCGGAAAAAGATGCGCTAAAACATGCGTGGAAAATGATGACAAGAATATGAGGCTACCCCGTGGGGTGGGATACGAAGACATGTCTTCACACGTCCCCCTAAACATCACCTTCGACAGAACAAACAGCAAATCAGAGGCAGGTCCTCAGTCTGACTGCCTGGGTTTCTGTGCTGTTGTCAGAAGACAAGCTGGGTGTCGCTGGGCAAGTTACCGAACTTTTCTGTGCCACTATTTTCACATCAAAATATAGGGATAACAATAAAATGTGCCTCAGGACTTCCTTGGAAGTCCAGTGGATAGGACTCCACACTTCCATTGCAGGGGTCGGGGAACTAAGACCCTGCAGGCTGCATGGGGTGTCAAAACAAAGAGCAAAACTCCCCAAAAGCAAAACAAACAAACAAAAAAGCCACAACAGAATGTGTCTCATAGGGTTGTTGGGTAGATTAAGTGAGACAGCTAACACAGTAATGCGCTGAGCCCAGCGCCATGGCCAGCGCAAGGCCTCTACAAGAGTTAGCTGTTACAGACGGGATCTGAAGGCAGGACAATGATACCTTTATAAAGGTTGGAGAACAGAAGTGATTTGCTTTTAAATGTAATCAGTTTTTGATGTCTCTCGGGTTCAAAACAATTCTTAAATTGGTTTTTTTTTTTTCTAACCCCATTTTATTTTTTAAAAGTAAGTTACTGATTTGGCTGTGCTGGGTCTTCGCGGCTTTTGTGTGGGCCTTCTCTGGGTGTGGTGTGAGGGAGCGCCTCTCTAGTTGGGGTGCCCGGGATTCTCACTGCAGGGCCTTCTCGTTGCAGAGCGCCGGCTCCAGACCACCGGCTCAGTAGCTGGGGCACAGGGGCTGAGTTGCCCCGAGGCATGCGGGATCTTCCCAGGCCAGGGATCAAACCCACGTCCTCTGCCCTGCCAGGTAGATTCTTAACCAGCGGACCACCAGGGAAGTCCTGTTCCTTTTATTTGACTTGATTTTATTGGTGTATAGTTGATTTACAATGTTGTGTTAGCTTCGGATATATAGCATAGTGATTCAGTTATATATATATATATATATTATTTTTCAGGTTCTTCTTTATTAATAGCTATTATAGAATAGTGAGTCTGCTCGTTATCTGCTGATATGTAGTGTGTATATGCTCAAGTAGTTTTATTTACTTTTTTTTTATTAGTTGGAGGCTAATTACTTTACATCATTGCAGTGGTTTTTGTCATACATTGAAATGAATTAGCCATGGATTTACATGTATTCCCCATCCCNCTCTCAGAAAACAATAAGCCATCGTGATAGTGGCAACAGTGAATGCTTACAAAATTAGAAAAGAGGATTCACGAAAAAAGAGCCCGAGAAAGAGTATTTAGATAATTTACTGCAAAAGGAAGTTTAAGAACAGGTTTTCTGTTTATGCAAATTCCAGATGCTCAGTAAACATTTACTGGCAAATAAAGCTAGGAGGTACTTCTTGGAAGAGGAGAAGCAATACGACAAGGGAAGGCTGGGTAGCGCAGACGAGAGAAGTCACTGGGTAGATGAGACGTTGACGGACGACGTCCTGCAGGAGTATTAACGCGCTCCGGCCAGGATGCTGAGGGAGTGGTTTTTACCCCTGGCTGCACACTGCGGGCATTTTTAAGAATCCTAAATCCCAGACTGATAACATCAGACTCTTGGGGGCTTGAACCTGGGTAATCTGTATTCTGGAGTCCCTATCAATTCCAACCTGCAGCCACGGCTGGGAGACAATGCTCTAGACATTTTTTTCTCAGACTTGAATGACATGATAGTTGCCTGTAGATTTTAATTAAAACTTTCATTAAAACTGGTTCAGTGGGGTGTGTGTAAGGGGAGGGAGCAGAGGGAGGAAGCAGGAGGCTATGGTGCCACATTTTTAAGAAATTCCCAGGAGAGGTCCATTCTGCAGTTCTGGGGATCCCATCTGGAGCTGCAAGTCTCCGAGGCTTTGAAAATGAATCCATGTAAACTCAAGTATGTTATCATTCTAAACTGCCTCCATACTTCTTTGAGAGGAAATTCTTTCCTTCAACAAACATGTAAAAACCTTGTGTATCTTTGTGCTTTTGGAGGGTGAGTTGTTTACCTTTCATCTTATAACAGATGGCATTTAAGTTAGGAAGAAAAGAAAACCTCCTGATTGTATTGTTTTCTGATGGCAGTGAAATGGGGGTGGATATTGACGGGTATTCAGGTTGGAGAATATTAGGAACAGGAATTTCATTTCAGAAAAGTACCGAATGAAAAATATCTGTGCGAAGCAATAGCAGAGGCTAGAACTTTCAGGAATGAGGCGGAGGCAATGGACAGGTGAGGAGACTGAGTATTTAGGTTTCTTAAAAGGAGTCTGTAGATGGTGCTGAAGATTTGGAGGTATCCGAGGGAAGAGCCCTTACATTTGAGGTTTTATTTGGAAACCTCCATTGGGCCCTTTTATTCATGGGGCTTAGCAGGTAAACCAAACACAGAAGCTCAACCATAGAATTTCTCTAAAATCTCATCCCTGTGTCATTTGCATCTTCTGACTTTCAAACTACATGGTATTTGCATCTGATTTACAAACGTTAAGGCCAACTCAGTCACGTGCCAGTGCCCGGGAAAGCCAGAGTATGAATCTTTCTAAGCGATCTTCCCCTCACATCCCCACATATTTAACATTATCAAACAAATGACGGCTGCCCAGCGTGAAGAATGCTTAATTCAGGAACTTGCCTGGTGGTGCAGCAGTTAAGACTTGGCCTTTCAGTGCAGGGGGTTTGATCCCATCCCTGGTCTGGAAGCCAAGATTCCACATGCCTGGCAGCCAAAAAGTTAAACCATGAAAGAAACTATTTTGTAACGAATTCAATAAAGAATTTAAAAATGGTCCACATTAAAAAAAAAAAAAAAAAAGTGCTTCATTTACCCCCATGTTGTCAGAATTGGCAGCAAATGGATGGATGGCCTAGTTATAGGAGCTTCATGTTCATCGGTCACACGTCTGATACCAACTTTGCTGAGCCTGGCAAGCACATCACCATGACTGCCGAATCCCCAGCTGCTTATGAAAGCACCAGACCTGCTGGATTTTCATAAAGCAGGACAAACCTGCTGTTCCTGACCACGTGCCAACAGGTACAGGAGTGCCTTGGACCATCACTGCCCCAAGCTTGAGAGCAATTACATTTTTAAAAAGGAGGCTGTGTTCCTTTATCTCATGAAAAAAATAATACTTGGACGAGACTTCCCTGGCCGTTCAGTGGTTAAGACATCACCTCCAGTGCAGCAGGTGTGAGTTCAATCCCTGGTCGGGGAGCTAAGATGGCACAATAAGCCTCGTGGCCAAGAAACCAAGACATAAACAAAGGCAATATTGAAGCAAATTCAATAAAGGCTTGATAGGTCCTGTTAATGTGGTGACAAATTCCTTCCCTGCCGCGCATGTTCCAGATGTGGGATTATGCAGCCTAGACGGCTTGGCTAGCCTACTTGTTCGCTTATTCTTGTTCAATAACGTAGAAGGGGAAATTGTTTTTCTTAGTCATCTTCCCTGATGCTGGGAAAGATTGAGGGCAGAAGGAGAAGAGGGCCTCAGAGGATGAGATGGCTGGATGGCATCACCAATGCAATGGACCTGAGCTTGGGCAAGCTTTTGGAGATGGTGAGGGATAGGGAGGCCTGCTGCAGTCCGTGGGGTCACAGAGTTGGACACAATTGGGCAACTGAACAACAAGTCTTCTCAAATCCGTTCAGGAAAATAGCTCTCCTTGGGTATGAACTCCGACTGGTGGGCTGTATTCTCCATGATGACATCCTCGGTTTCTCCCCTACAGACCACAGCGTCTGGTAAGTTAGTTGTCGTGTTCTCCAGAGCCTTGAGCCCGGATCACTGTTAGACTCAGTCAAGAGTGATTCTGTCTGTGATAGGAATTAGTTAAGGCTGGTAGAATTTGTTCATCCCCACTCTCGAAACATCTTTGGGACTATGGAGATCCCAGGCTTAGGAGGGGTAAGGGCCCTCCAAAAGGGCCACCTGGGTGTTTGTAAAATAAGATAACATTTGCTTGACTGACTGTATCATCTACCCTCGGGAACTTTTCATGCTAAATGCTCATTATTTCTTAGGCTCGCCCTTCCCTCTCACCTGTCCATT